AAATAATTATTCAACGCAAATATGAGTAATATGAAATGAAATGGAAACATATCCATTTTTGATACAATTAGCAAATGTCGAATGTTTCTGCAAATATCTATCTCTATCTGTACAAGTGTTATGTGTTTGTGTGTGTTTAAAAATATTTCGTTAATTGTAAAGGAAAAAAAGTTTGTTAGGTTTTTCTGCAAGTTATCCCCAAGGCATGAAACATTTGCAGAATTCAAAGGCTAATATATTTTGGCCTTGTCTGCATGTATAGAAGAATAATTTGATTCATTTTAATGAATTTATGCATACTATTGCCATTTCTATTGGCTACTTTTATACTCTTGCAATCTCTGAATAGTTTTGAAGCAGCAGACAAATACGTTAAAAATTAGATGGATTAAAGAGGGAAAAAATGAACACAAACTAAATATAGGTATTTTTTTTCCGTATTAGATAGTCTATTTTTAATTTTAAGTTTTTTTCTTTTTTAAAAAATTTTTCAATATATATAAATTTATTTTAAAAATTATAAATTTTCCTCAAAATTTTAAGTTTGTCATTATTGGATTGTATTTCCATATCAGTAGTATCAATGTGTTAGACATAATCTCTAAAAATATACTGTCAATAACAATGCAACGATACTGAATTATCTGCTTATTCTGAATAAACTTATTCAAAAACAAAAACAAAAACAAAAAAAAAACGTATAATCAGTTATTTTTTGTGTAGAATTCGTTATTTGCAAAAATTTATGAATTAATATGGAATGTTTTTAAATTAACTTTTACTGCTTGCATTCATAATTTATCAGGCTGAATTGGCAACAATAATGTTCTTTTATATGATTATTAATATGGTAACATTTTTCATATTTATTTGAAAGGAAGAAAAAGTTTGAAATTAAAAGAAAATGAATTATTTTTCTGAGTCTTCTTCCTCATACCATATTCATTTATGTCTTATAAGCGATTTTTTACTATTCTGAAACATTTGATTAGTTTTAATTAAGTTTTAACGATGGCAATAACTGATAGTAATGTTGACTTTACGTTTTTTTTTCTTTTTTTTATGAATCTTAATCAAAAACTCTAAATGAAAAGGCAATTTCATAAAAATGGTCAATTTAGTTATGGAAAAAAAAACTTTTACTGATTATAAATGTGAATTTTTGATATGTGATTGATTAGTAATGTCTAAAGCATCAATAAATAATGAAACTAATAGATAACTAATAAATTAACTTCGTAGAATTAATTTCCAACTTTACTATTCTGCATATGAAGTCAATAAGAAGCAAAAGTTGCTTGCAACAAG